TGACTTCCTCCTCTAGTAAACAGTACACTTGACTTCTGGTTCATCTAACTGAAGACACACAAACGTACATGAACACTGAGCTTCCTGCTGCTGGTGTCTCTGTGCTCCAAGAACCAGGAGACCAGCTCCTCCTGAGTGAAGTGCTTCAGAGCCTCGATCTGCAACAGAGACCACAGCGGGTTAGAACCTCAGACCAGGACCAGGATCAACAGACCAGAGACTGCGCTGGTAGCAGCACCTACAGTTTCTCTTCAAAGTTTGCTTTGTGTGTTTAAACATCACACAAACTAGTTTTCTCCACCAGATTAGTTGTTTGTTTACCTGCTAGGTGTGATCTAATCCTGAAGTTGTGTCTCACCTCCTTGTTGAAGCCGGTTGAAGACGTACTGCTGTGTGACGACCTCAAACCAGTTGCGGTCCACTTCCTCTCCTAGATGAGCGTCCTCACTCCTTCAGCTTGATGAGAGCTGTCACCTGGGTCCTGAAGGCATCCTCGCTCAGACCTGACAGACGCTCGCCGAAACTGACCAGGACTCTCGATCTTCGCCTCCACGAACTCCGTGCTACAAAGGGGAGGAGAAGAAGAAGAGGACATTTTTACCTGCTCAGCTGTGGTGCAGTGATTTCTCTGCAGCTTGTACAGAAACAAACCAGAGACAGTAGAGAAACCGAGACGCTTCAATTTCTGTTAATTCCTGTGTCTGTGTGACGAGAGTTTTCTCCACTCTCCCGCCCCTTGAGGAGTCTTCCATTTCCAATGGGCGAAGTGAACGAGATCACAGATTCTTTTTCCCTCCACAGTCACTGAAATAAATGATTTCAAAAGTCTCGTTTTCTCCAACCAATAGTAAAAAAAAAAAATCTCCAGTTTACAAAGATAAAAAACAGAAAAACAGACAGAAGAGGATGATCAGCAGTTTTTCTTCATCATACAATGTAAACCACTGTTTTACTCAAAGCTTTCTCACTGTTCTTCCATGAAGAAAGTTATAAAATAATAAATATGTTAAATGGAGCTGAAATGATCAAATAGAAACTACTGAGATAATCAGTTCACTGTTAAAGTTATTTTTCTTTTGTATTAGACTGAATATCTTTTTGGCTTCAGGAAACATTTTTTTGCAACAGATCAAACAATGAATTGATGATAATTAAAAATAAACCTTGACTTCCTCCCTCATAGTAAACAGTAACACTGACTTCTGGTTCAATCTAACTGAAGACACACAAACGTACATGAACACTGAGCTTCCTGCTGCTGGTGTCTCTGTGCTCCAAGAACCAGGAGACCAGCTCCTCCTGAGTGAAGTGCTTCAGAGCCTCGATCTGCAACAGAGACCACAGCGGGTTAGAACCTCAGACCAGGACCAGGATCACAGACCAGAGACCTGCAGCTGGTAGCAGCACCTACAGTTTCTCTTCAAAGTTTGCTTTGTGTTTTAAACATCACACAAACTAGTTTTCTCACACAGATTAGTTGTTTGTTACCTGCTAGGTGTGACTCTAATCCTGAAGTTGTGTCTCACCTCCTTGTTGAGCCGGTTGAAGACGTACTGCTGTGTGACGACCTCAAACCAGTTGCGGTCCACTTCCTCTCCTAGATGAGCGTCCTCGCACTCCTTCAGCTTGATGAGAGCTGTCACCTGGGTCCTGAAGGCATCCTCGCTCAGACCTGACAGACGCTCGCCGAAACTGACCAGGAACTCCTCGATCTTCGCCTCCACGAACTCCGTGCTACAAAGGGGAGGAGAAGAAGAAGAGGACATTTTTACCTGCTCAGCTGTGGTGCAGTGATTCTCTCTGCAGCTGTACAGAAACAAACCAGAGACAGTAGAGAAACCGAGACGCTTCATTTCTGTTTATTTCCTGTGTCTGTGTGACGAGAGTTTCTCCACCTCCCCGCCCCTTGAGGAGTCTATTCATTCCAATGGGCGAAGTGAACGAGATCACAGATTCTTTTTCCCTCCACAGTCACTGAAATAAATATTGGACCCAGTTTTCACGGGCCGCAGGTCTTCAGAACATTCCGACATCAAAATGACATTTTTCAGATCAACAGATCAGGAGAAAATGAACTTTATTGGAGACCTGCCTCTGTCTCTGTGCCATACTCTCGTGAGATCTGTCAACTGGCGACATCGTTTGCCGACCGATATCCAAATGTTTAGATGGACCAGAGTTATTTTGGGATTGACTTACTTCTATGTGAAACCATGGATTAAACTTGAAAACTTAAATAAAACTTGTTTCATTGCTTCACAATGGCTCAAACAGAGTATTAGCCTATTAAATTGACATGACTTTGTACTGGGCTGATGATCAGATGATCAGATGTATCTGTGTTGTATCATCTGTTGTTGTATTCTTTTGGCGGGGACAAGTAATCCATCAGTGAGTGTTAAAATGCCCGAGCTTTGTGCAGCAACAGGCTGTAATAACAAGAAAAATGGATCTGTCTTTTCTTTCCCAAGGGCTGCAGAGAGCTGGGTCTAGACAGGGAAAGATTTTAATATTAGCTACTGTCACATTTCATGCCAGTTGCCCTGCCATGAGGGAGGGGTTGGGGGGACAACACCCACTTAGGAGACCGGAACTGTGTCCCATTTCATACCATTGGCACTGCCTGTAATGTGGTATCTTCTGTATAGAGAATCTTTGAACAAACACAGAGGTCGTCTCACCTGAACTTGGTGGCCTGTGTTTCCACGGTGACAGAGAACCCCAGCACCCCTGATGTGTTCCTGCAGGTTGGATACACCTGGTACCTGGAGGTCACGTGATCAGAGAGAGGCTTCTTTTTAGAACATCATCTGCTCATGAGGTTTTATAATTAAACATTGATCATTACTGATCTATAGTTCACAGATCAATAACACTCACCCCAGAGTCTCCTTTGTCCTGAGGAAGTCGAAGCACGGCTCCTCCATGTGCATCTGTGAACACAGGCGGAAGTCGATTAATGTCTTGACTTGTTGCAGCTGCAGCTACAATATATTATATTGTCCTGTTATTGTATTGACTTGGTTTGATTGTAAGACTCACAACCGAGAGGTGTTGTGTTAGTGGTTTTAGTATATATATATATATATATATATATTATATATATATAATATATATATATATATATATATGTGTGTGTGCTTTTTAATGTTACAGATTCATTATATATTCAATATAACAGAGATCATCTTTTTACATTTGCATCATGTTTTGCTCTTTCCTTGATTTAAACTTCACCTCCTCTTTGTTTCAGCTGCATTTTATTTGTTTGTACATAACAACTCACTTCTTTTGTGTTGCACCTGCACGTCCAGCTGTTTCTGAGGGAGCTCAGAGCTGTTTGATATGTGTTAGTGAACTTTGACCTATCAGGGATTATAATTCTTATTCTCTTTTCACTTAGAAAACACTTTGTGCTTAAACGTGAAAATTGCTTTATAAGTAAAAAGGTAAAACAATAATCTTCCTCCTCTTTAAAAACTACTTTCTAATTTGCAGTTACATTAAATGATCTTTGCTGCTGACGTTTCAAATCTCCTGCGTGTTGTTTCTGGAAATGAAGGTTTATATTTTAGCACAAGACATTAATGTGTTTACAACATCTTGCAGAGACTTAATGTTGCCACGTTAACAAGTTGCCTCAAGCTTGTTCTCAGTGATTCGGCAGTAAAAGTGTCTCATTATAACCTACAGGAATTTCTGACACCTCGTGCAGCTGCAGAGGAAAAACAGTGGAGGACTGATGAATGAATGAATGCAGGTGTGTTGAAAGCCTCTCACAGCGTTCTTCTGTCACCAGTGTTGGTGTAAACACTCACCACCATCAGCTCCATCAGGGCGTGCTCTCTGAGGTTCTTCAGCCCCGACTGCGACACAGACACATTCAAGAGTTACGCAACAACACAGATTAAAATAAATGTAGCTACGGGTGGAGGAAGACAAGAGGAGACACAGGATGGAGGAAGTTCTATTGTCCATTTCAATGTTTTATTCTAATTTAAAATGTTGGAGAAGTTGTTGCTGCTGAGCTAGGAATTACATGTTTTTCTGCTTTAAGAGTACTGGTCTCTGTTGTTTTGTTTGTGGCACTAAAAACATTTTAAAATGAATGAAATTCTGTTGTTCATCACTGAACTGGTGTTGGAGCAGGAGCTGATCTCTGGAGATCTTAAACAATCTGAATGTCCAGAGCTCGTAATGAGAAACAAAGTGAACTGATCCTTTAGAAACTTTATAGATGGAGAGAGTAAAGAGGAAATGTAGTTTTTAATGTTGTAGTTTTTCAGCTGTGGTTCAAAGGTCACCGATGCCTTTGTACCTGGTAGTAGACGGTGACCTCAGAGTTGGCGTCTCCCTTGTTGAGTGATTTGACTTTACATAGGAGATTTTTCTCAGGCAGTTCCACCACCCGGAACAAGACAGGGACCTCTGCAGACAGAGGCTGGAACTGCAGCTTCCTGCAGAGACACAGAGAGGACTGTTAATCACACACTGGCCTGAAATGAAACCAGTTTGGCTCCGTGGATGAGGACGTGTCTCTAAACTCATTATCTTATAAATTCAGCTAATTTCAAATATATAAATGCTGGATCGTGATATTTTCTCCATCACGTATCTTTTATCAGTAATGCAAAAGATTATTTGTTTCTTCTGGAGTTCTTTACTGTTAAGTTTCAGATATTAAAGATGTTTTCCTCAGTGTTGGCTGCTTTCTGGCTCTCTGCATATGATTGCACATTGTCACCTTGTACTGGAAGGCAAAAGGGAAGCTCTTATTGTGAAGGGGCTGGAAGTTGTTACAAATATTGTCACAAATAAAATGGTTGTTGATTAACTTCAGAAATGTGAACTTGTGTTGTTGTTGAAATGTAAAGCTTTGGTAAAATTTTGGTAAAATGTAGAAATCATGTTTTATTAAAAAAAAACAAAAACAAACTTAGTTAGATTTTAAGTTTTTAAGGATTTAAGAATGTGAATGTTTATTTTGTCACCCTGGAATAAAACCTCCAACCTCCAGCATCAAACACTTAGACAGTGTAATGAAAAAATGAAGAGGATACTCACTCAGTGAAGTATTGCAGGAACTCCTTGGACTCCTGTTGGAGGAATCAACACATCAGATTACAACTGCACTTCAAACTGTTTATTTTAACAACTGGGAACATTTTACATCAAACGTCTGAATCACAAACCTTCAGTGAGAGAGAAGAGTTAGTTCAGTTTGTATCCGTGCTCCAGACAGAGCTGAATATTCACTGTCTGTTGTTGGGTCAGTTGTTTACAGCAGCTTCTCTTTGTTGTGGCTGAGTCTGAGCGTCACCTCAGTGAGTTCATAGCTGTGGGGTTTTATCTGAGGGGGTTTCGATCACCACAGCTCATGTAACACTACAGTAACTACATGCAGAGTTGGTGTTAAGGTGCAGCTTTTCCTGAACTCTTCACATCCGTCACGTGTGTCTATCTGAACAACCTGCTGTCAGCCGACACGTCTGACCTGCCACCAGCTGAAACCTCAAACTACACATAAAGACATTTATCATCTTTCACCATCAGGAAGGAGCATAACCCTGATGACTGAGTAAACACACCAAACAACACACTGAACCTCTGCTCAGTAACCACCGGAGTTCTGTTAAAACCACCAACCATCATGTGTTCTCGTTCCAAAACAAACACGGACGACAACCAGCAGCTTCTTCTGTTTATACGCAGAAACATTTGAAAAATCTCCTTTGAAAAAAGGCTCAGAGTCTGGCTCAGATCTTCCATTTCTCTTCTCCAGTACATTTTCACACCGTAAACCCTTTCACTCACCAGTCTTCTTCTGAGGAAGGGTACAGGTAACACAGGTCCCTGGCCAGTACCAAACTGCACTGCTACTGGGGCGCTACACTCTTCTTCTTCTGTTTATTTACCGGTGTGTCTCCCAAGGTCAACACTCAACTGACAGGTGGCAAAGTTGTATAATTAAAGAAATATTAATAAGAACGACTGACAACAACTGAACCTGAGGACTGAAGATAAGAGTCTTTATATTATCATATACTATAATTTTATCTGCCCATTATCAACACCAACTGACCCAGACTGGAACCAACCTGGTCTAAATGAGCCAGACTGTCCCACAACAAAGAGTGAACCCAGTCACGTTGTGATGACAGGAAATGGCTGTAGTTACTGTCGGAGCTGTCTTCCTTCAGCATATAGCACATTAGAAACAAACGACACACGTACGTCCATCATTTGTACCATGTTATTCTTTTCTAAATGTCTTTTTTTCGTACCTCCTTTTTATAAACGGATTTGAGTATCAGGCAGGTTCACCACAACTTTTTGAGTTATTCGGATTGGTTTGGTTTCTCTGTTTTGTACTTTATGTATAATTTATTTACTTATTTATTTTTAGTATTTTATATTTTATTTTATTTTTTGTTAGATGACTATAATTTGATTTATTTCATTGGTCCTCAATTGCTTCTCTGTTATCTATGTTAACACACATATAGATTAGATTTGTTGCTTTTGGTTAGAATTGAGTCTTACAGAAGGTTTGGATGGAAAAGATCAATAAGTCATCACATTGTTTGAATGGATAATGAAATAAGACAATAAAAAAAAAAAATTTTTTTTTTTTTTTTTTTTAAAGAGAAAAAAACTGTTGTTTTAGCTGTTTAACAGTAGAAATTGTTCCAACAAAAACATTCTTTTTGGACCAATCATGATTTAAGTTAAATTATTCTAAACTTCCTGTTGAGTTTATTTTTTCTCTGCAGTATCTTTACTTGAGTTGGTTTGTTTTCTATGTGATGAATGTCAGTGTGTCGCACCGTGCTGGTGAAGTTTCCCTGCACCAGCCCCTCAGTGTACAGCTCCGCCTTCAGCCCCGTGACGAAAGTCATGAGGTCGTCAACAGTCAGACCCTTCATGACGGCCTGATACTTCTGAATGACCGACCAGCGACAGTGCTCCAGGATCAACAGACGCACATCTCTACACAGAGAGAGAGAGAGAGAGAGAGAGAGAGAGAGAGAGATAGATAGAGAGAGAGAGAGAGAGAGAGAGAGATAGATAGAGAGAGATAGAGAGAGATAGAGAGAGAGATGTAAAGAACTGGTTCAAGTTTGTGAGAGATACATTTATCATATTGGTCAGCACAAAACTTGTTTAGGTTCTTGCCAAAAGTCAGTTAGATAATCAGCAGATGGTTAGCTTAGCTTATTTTAGCACAAAGACTGCAAACTATCCTGGCTCTGTCTTAGGACAACAAAATCTACCAACCTGCATCTCCCCATCAGTGATCAACATGTTATATCTTGTTTGTTTTAATCTTTACAGAAATTTAAGAGTAAAAAATCTAATCTACCGTTCTTCAGGGGGGATTTGCACCAGATTATTTCAAGTGACTCCAGACAAAGCAAATAAGCCTGTTTCCAAAACTCCAGAAACTCTTCAGGCAAAAAAAGCAGTGAGGATTAAAAATGAGTGACTGAGCTGGATCTCTGACACACAGGATTTGCCAGGTTTACTGAGGACTTAAGCTGCCTTGCTCAAGAACCCCTGGGGAGTGGCAGTTCTGAGAAGGGAACAGTTTTTTTGTTTGCTTGTGTATCAGAGTGGAGCCAGACTCCACAAAGATGAGTGCGTTTGTGTTTGCAGGTGGTGAGACGTACTTGCCCAGGCGCTCAGGTTTGATGAGGATGTTGAAGTAGGTTTTCTTCAGCTGCTCTGAGAACATGGTGAAGACGCCTGGCTCGGCGCTGAAGTCGGTCAGGTGATCCACGATCAGCCTCAACAGCAACTGGGACGCCACAGAGGAGGGAAGTCAGTGCGGTTGTACAGATACGTGTTTATCTGGTGGTTTGACCCAGTGACCCTGAGCTGTGTGTGATTTCAAACCATTATTATTCATCACTGGTTAAAGCCTCAGACCGATGTCTCTAGTTTTCTTCTCTCCTCTGCTGTTGTTTTATCACATTCTGCAGATTTACTGTTTTAGTTAGAAACATAAGAGTTGACATCACTGAAGCCACTGTGAAAAACCTCAGCCATTTACATAAAGGTTGCTGGAGGTCAAAGGGAACAAATGACCACAGGCCCAAGGCCCAGGGGGTACCATGCAGAGGTCTATATTTAACCCTTAATTGAGATCAAGCAGCCCCACCAATACAGGATTTTTAAGGCTTATACTAATATGGACATTTGAGAGTTAAAAATAAGCCTAAAAGGACCTCATCAATACATCTGCAGTGAACCAATATCAGATGCTCTCTCCTCCAACATCATCAAACCCCTCCACGAGTCTCCTCACCGGCAGCTTGTGGTTGAAGCCCTTCAGTCGGATCACAAGGCCGTGCTCTCCGGCCACCAGCTTGTACTCGAGCTGAGCCACGTCGGCCTCGTAGGCCGGCTCTGCCAGGTTGTGGGCCAAGATGTTGACGAAGAGGTCGAACAGTACCAGACTGGAGAGGAACAACACGGTGAGACACAACAGCTGCAGAGAGTGAGACCTGTACAATCAGCTGTGTCGTGTCATCAAATATCATCTTAAAGTGTGGGTAATTTAATGGGGTTTTTTCACTTTTAACATCCAACTACTGTACTAGCCAGTTACATGTGTCTCATGGGTCTCTTACTTCTCAGGGCTCCTCTGAATCATGGGGGAGATCAAGTTGAAACGAATATAAGCTGAAACACAAAAAGATGTGAAATGCTAAATTCACATTTCTTAAATAAATCCCAATTTGAAATAGATACTGGCCTGTTCAGCACCGAAGTTCTATGATGTTCCCCTTGAGTTCAAGATTCAAACCACAGACTTTGATTTCATTAAATCATTTCCCAAAAATTCACTCGGAGAAATTTGTTCAACTAGAATTTGAATGCATCTGATCAATGTTTGGACATGAGAGTAAAGACGAAGTCACACATTAGCTGCTTTCATCATTAACTAAAATCAGTATTATCTTACATTAGCTTTATAAATCATAGGACTCAGTGGAAGAATCACAACAGTGATAATTATACATAATTAATCAGACCTATGAAACTGATTGGCTGTTATTTTTGGAGAAAGTGTAATGATTTGAATTGTCCACCAGGTGGAGCTATTTAACCTGCTGAGTCCAGAGCAGCAGCAGAGACAGATTCATGTGAACAGTGAAGTGGATCCTGGTTTGGCTCCTGATCCCTGAACAGTTGATAATGAGGCATTAACTTCATCCTCAACGTTACTGGTGTCTAAGATTGTGGAGACGAAGATAATGATCTCATCTCATCATATTGTTTTGTCTAAGTGAAAAACTACGACACAACTTCAGCTGAGGAAGACAGCAAGACAAACCGAGGCAAGAAACCTGGATCAGGTCTTTGCGTGCCACAGCATCCTGATGTACTACAGCTTGCTTATTCAGGATTCTGGAAACCAGGATATGAAGTTTACATACATGAACAAATAACCAGGACGCTGGATGATGTTTAACTTGAAAAGGTCCACGTGTGCTATGATGGATTTTACCTTAAAGTTTCTACCTATTATTAGCTCGTCACACAGAAAGAGAAAAATTAAAACATTAGCTCTGATGCTTATAGAGAAAATTTAAATTAACAGCCAGTGCTCCCAGTAGTACTGTTTTCACTGGACAGGTCCTCGACCAATCAGATAGCACACGGAGGACACGACAGCGGCTCTCACCTTTGGGGATCTTAAACTTGTTGTCCTTCTTGTACCACAGGCAGCCACGCTCGTTGTTCACTATCCTGACAGGAAACTCTGTGTCTGGACAGTCCGACACTTTCAGAGTGAAATCCGTTGCTGCAGCATGAAACAGAAGGAAAACAAAAGATCAAATCAAGTGATTAAACACCTTCACATTACCTTATCGACATCTTATACCTCTACACAGACTGATGGAGGGAGGTGACACATGCTCAGTCTTCATGCTCTGACACAAACCCTCAGATTCTTTACACAGAACATATAAAACATGATTCCACTGTGTTTGAACTGACCGATGTACTTGTTCTCAGCAGGGAGGTGGAGTTCGGGGTGGAGCTCGAAGTCTCCTGTCCAGCGCTGAGCCCACTCCTCTGGGATATCTGACGACACCAAAGAAACACATTCAGGTTTAAAGACGCAAGTGAGTCAACTGTGTGTACACGCTCTTGTTTGTTTATGTTTGTGAGGACCAATTCATGTTACAGACAGTGAGGACATTTCTTCTTCACTTTGGACTGAAGCGTAATATCCCTGTTTGAGGGTTAAGACTTGGTTTGAGATTCAGGTTTGAATCAGATTAAGTCCTCACAGGTAAAGAGGTTAAAATGTGTGTTTGTTTATGCGTGTGTGTGTCGCACCCTCCATGCTGTAGCAGGTACCGAACCACTTCTCTCTGAGTGGACATCGACCTTCGTTTTCTGGTGACAGCAGCAGCAGGTTTGCTCTGTCTGGAGTCAGCAGGGACAGAGCAGCACTGATCACCTGTGTGCGCACAAAAAAGGAGTAATAAAAATAAAATAAAAAATCTCATCATGAGGCCATGAGATGTATCTGAGAGCTTTGGAGCTTGTGTTGAGAGTTTGTGGCCAAACTGACTCAAGCTTCAGATCAAAGTAATGTTTTCAGGGTTCCCCGGTGATCGAAATGTCTCCATATCAAGATGATTACACTCTCTCGGTCACCCTCTAATTAAGGTACAAAAACTGACCCAGAAATGTGATAAAAAACCCCACAAAAGAACAACTACACTTCTCCCACTATTCTGATGTTTCAGAGCTGATGTGAACATTGGTTTTAAGATCTCCAGTCAGATCGCTGTTTAATCATCAAACCAGATTCTCAAACGGAGGCTTTGTCTGAAATCCCCGTCCCTCACTTACTCACTCACTCATTCATTCATTCACTTACTTCTCCTGATAGAACAGACTGACAGCAGTTTACAGTAACTACAAGATTTCAGACACTTCTAAATCATCGTTTTTTTGTCATCTCTGAAAGTTGCAGTCACAACAGTTGCTTCATATCTATAAAAATGACTCAGAGTTTCATTGGTTCAGTAACAGAAACAGTTTTGATTCACTGTGGAATATTTTAAATTTACACTCAGACACTGAGTATAAATGTCATGTTGTGTCAAACTGATTCTGATCAGATCTGGATCTGTGGTCCTGGTTACCTCTGGGTCGTACTCAAACATGAGCTGGTCCCCAGTCAGGAAATCCTCTTTGGGAAACAGCTGCATGTTCTCACAGATGTTCTCCACAAACTCGATGGGATCCGTCTGTCACAGACCAGAGACAAGGACAGAACATCAGATGGAGCAAGGCACTGCCAGAGTTCGAGGTTCAATTCCCTCACACTCCTTAAAGGAGTGTGACTTAAAGCTGCTGGTTCTAAGTTTATCCGTTTTATGATCTGTGCTGCTGATCTTATGTTCTGTATTCATACTCCCAGTGCTGTTAATTTATTGTGGTCTGCAAAACATCAGGATAAATAAAGAATATCTTGATATATGATCTCTGGACAAAACAGCTTCAATCCAAGAATCAGAATCAGGTTTGTTGCCAAGTAGATTTTCAAGTACGAGGAATTTTGATTTGATGATTTGGTTCATAGCAATAAACACAGAAGAAGAAAAAATATAAAGAAAGATAAAGCAAAGCAAGTACTTCTGGTCAGATACATTAAATATAAATAGAAATATTTAACAATAAAATATTTAGTTTTTGTATCCTGATGGTTCATCTCATTTAATTTAAACTCTATTATTTGTATCCTTCTTGTCATTATCATTGTATCATTGACGACTGATTAATCATTACCCGTTTCATCATCACAGAACACATCACATGAAGCTGGTTAATTTCAGTGTTTGCACACATCAACCTTTGATTGTTGATCACCTGCTGACAGAGCTGTGAGACAGTGTGTGTCTGTGAACAGGTTTTCAGTGTGTGTCTATGGCAATACCTGCTCCTGATAGTGGAACTCATTGGCTTCTATCTTCTGAATTTCCTCGTAGATCCTGAAAGAAAGATGTCTGTCAAAATAAGCTTTTTATATTCAAAACGGGACAAAAACGTACAAATATCAGTTACTCTAAACTGCAGTTACACAATAAATTCAAAGAGCAATTCTTTCCTGATGTTCTCACTGAATTAATGTGGAGGAAATTTGATGTACAAAAGAAGTTTTGTGCACCACAGTGACATCTGGACTCAGTTTTCTTCTTCTCAAATTTCTAATGTTTTTTTTTTACACAGCTTGTGCTGCAGAATGAGAGGAAAGGTTGTCACCGTTACTGTGGTGCAATCTTAAATCCTTGATATGGGTGTTTTTGTGGAGCCTGACCTCTGCTGGGGGCCCAGAGTCTGGAGCATCTTCAGGTACTGGAACACAAAATCTACAACCTGCACAGAGAAAATAATGATGTGTGTGAGTGGTTATGAATCAAAAACATCAACTGTTTCTTCTTATTCTTATTTGTTAGTGGCTCAAAGTTAAAGCCAGCAGCACCATCATGTCTGAAAGTTGAAGTACTCGTCCATGACCACTAGATGTTCCCTTTAAAAATCCAATCATTGATCCATTCAGGACACATTAAAAACAAACTATTTTGTCGGGAAACAAACCTACAGGTTTATTCCAACTAATCTGAATCACAGTTTAAAGACTGACATCCTACTTCAGCTCTGACCTGCTGTTGTTGTGCAAGTTTTCCTGTGCAATGAGGGACCTCACTTCAGTTTGAGCTCAAAATGTACATTTTACAGTGTAAAATGTCAAAGAAAAAAATAGTGAAAAATATCCAACCCAGTTTGTCAAAGAGTTCCTTGTCATGTCTATAATATACCATTATTATTATATAATATATATAATATAAAATATCTTGTTTTGTCTGATCAACATGATCAACGGTCAAAAAATATTCAACTTATAATTATATAAAACAGAGAAAAGCAGGAAATCTGAATATATGAGTATCTGAAAGCAGTGATAAAACTGACCTACAGTAAATGATTGATTATTAAAACAGTTGTGATTAGTGTTTCTGATTTTACACTACCTGCAGGTATATATATAGCCAGTGTGTGTGTGTGTGTGTGTGTGTGTGTGTGTGTGTGTGTGTGTGTGTGTGTGTGTGTCTGTTGACCTGGTAGAAGTTCTGGTAGCCCTGGTCGGTGAGGGTGATGGAGATGGAGAAGATGGAGTAGGTGGTATTTTGATCGAAGCCCGTCTCACTGTTTCCTCCAAACAGAGCCAGAGCCCAGCATCTGCAAACACACACACACACACACACACACACACACACACACACACACACACACACACACACACACACACACACACTGTATGTACCACAAGTCTCCTGCACTTATTTCCTACTTCTTGGTTTTACTTCTGCAGTTGGTTTATGACTCACTTCTTGCGGAGCAGAGACAGGATGCTGCCGGTTCCTTCGTGTCCGATCAGCCAGGAGATGTAGTGAAGAGGCTTCACTCTGACAGGAAACACACACACACTCAGTGAAGCCTAATGTTACAGAGATGATGTCATAGGGCAGGTAGACGTCTGACTCTCAGCTTAACTATGATACATCACAACACAACACAGATTTGACACAATTTGTTCAAATTAAGAGCCTGAATAAAGAAATCCAAAAACTACGGTTTCACTGTTTACACACAGTTTACACACTCACTGAGCACTTTATAAGGAACACCTGTACACCTGTTTCTTCATGCAGTTATCCAATCAACCAATCAGGCAGCAAAATGCAAAAATGAATTCATTGCTCACTATAGAGTGAACTGAAGTGTCTGTTGTTATTTATTAGTATTATTGATAATTGGTATAAGTATTATTATTTCCACTTTAACAATTAACAGTATATATGATAACACCATTACCTATGGGTATAACTGTTATTATTTTCAGTTACAATTAACAATCATCAGTAATCATCAGAGTCCAGTTCTGTTGGAGGTTTCTTCCTGTTAAAGGGAGTTTTTCTTCCCCCCTGTCACCAAGTGCTGCTCTTTGGGGGAACTGTTTGGTTTCTCTCTATAATAAAGTAAGGTCTCGACCTTACCCTGTAAAGTGCCATGAGATAATGTATATTGTGATTTAGTGCTAAACAAAGAAAATAAAACTGAATTGAATTCTATTTCTACAGTAGGATTTAACATCAGATCCAGTGAGTAACAATAATTACGTTTTTTTTTTTTTTTTCATGCAGCAACTTCTGCTAGAAAAATCAAACACACACTTTGACTCACCTGTAGTGTTTTCCCTGTGGTGGTACGGCCCAGCTGATGGTCAGAGCATGAACCTTCCTCACAGGGACCACTGCAATACACACACAGATAATATTAGTAAAGATCAAATAACCCTTTTAGTTCTGCAAACGTAACTGTATAAAATGATGAGTTAATCAAACTTGATTGTGAACACAACGTTGATTTTGTTCATTCTTCTAAGTCTAAATAAATTCAGTCTAAAGTCTCATGGTGTGATGTACACGTTTAAATGTATGCATGCCATGGGCACGACTGATTACAACACTACTAATACTACTTCTACTACCACACAGCTGATACTAGAGTTTTGAGGCTGATACTGATACAGATATTTGTAAAGTGAGAATAATTTTCTAAGAATATATTGGTTGATGTTTTTGTGACATTTAACAATGTAAAATAACAATCTTCATTCAGATCCCTTAGATTTTTATTTTTTACATACAGATTGGAAAAAAAAATCAAATGGCCAGTGGTCTCTGGTGTGGGTTTGGCATTTCCTGTTATATCTGTAGTAAGCCAACAGCAGCCGAGCTCCGAACAATAATAAATATCATTATAATAATTAGAGTCAATATTCAGAGCAGTGTCTGACCTCTGTAGAGTTTGTTGAAGGCTGGAGTGTCAAACGGCTGCTGGAGGTGAAAGAAGTCGGGTCGAGGGTCACCACTGAAAAAACAAACAGACAAAACACGTTACAACACAAATCAGATTTTATTTATATACCTGATGATGTCTTTATTCTTCTGTAATATCATTGTTATTGATCACATACACTATGTACTGACAGTGACCATTTGAATACAAGTGTTTTATGCTAACAGGAACTGGTAGAAGGTGTGTGTAGATAGATTTTAGACTAGATAGAACATCACAGTTCAGTGCTACTGTGTCAACACAATCAGCTTCACTTTAACAAAGACCAGAGTCACACTAACTGACTGAGTGAGTAGGTGTCTGTGTGTTAAGTCGTCTTACTTGTTGGGAACTTTGATGAAGATCTCTCTCACCCACTGCTCCAGAGTGTCCAGTGTCTCTACAAAATAAAAGCAGCCTGCTGACATTTCCCATTCACAGCATGCTAAGGTTAGCTGTGCTTTAAGTTAAATCCTTATGTTAGAATATTAACATCATCACAACAGTGTCACCATCCGTTCATGGGGTGATGGGCTGTTCTCCACTGCTGCCCCTGCCCACCCTCCAGAACTCTGTCCAAAAACACATCTGTGACTGCACCAACCTGTCCTCACTCAAAATCTGCTTTTAATGTCTGATTTATCTCTGCTACTTAATGTACTTTTAGTGGGTTTTTTTTATTATTTAGGATTTTCAATATTATATTTGATTATGAATTATTTCCCTGTTTTTCAGTCCAAAACACAAAGATATTGAGGTGCGATTGTTTCATCAGAAGCAGTTTCGCAGGCCAGTAGTGAACTTTCAAACTCAACTATCAAGTCAAACCTCAGACTTGTTTTGGGGGTCATATTAACATTGTCTTGTATGACTTCTAAAATAAGCTGCAGTAAAAGAAAAAAAAAACTGTTAAGACAAGCCAGACATCTTTGGTTCATTCTGTACCTTTGGACTGAACAGCGAGCGTCATGTAATGAGCAGAGTAATATCTCCTCCAGAAGTCCCTGAGCCGCTGGTACGTGTTGATCTGTTTCTCTTTGGGCTCGTGTTTTAATGTCTGAGCGTTACCTGACGACAACAACCAAACATCTGTTAAATACCACAGATAATCTCAACAGTAACATCATAACATAAAACATGAAGACACTGTGGCTGCAAGGTCCTTCAAAATTTAAATTTAAAATTCAAAACATTTACAAAACCATTTAGAATAGAAATTAAGAACCATTTAATTACTGGTAAACGATGGAAATCAAAAGGGATCAGTTGGATGAGCATTTATGACTAAAAACTGACTAACAAGGCAAAACTTTCTTCATAAATGTTTCTAAGGCTATTTAAAGTCTTAGAAGATAGAAAAGAAAATTTCAAGAAAACAATTCAAAACCTTTAGGTTAGGATCAGGTTGGATTTGTAAACTCATTGAAATTTGTTTTCATAACTCATGTCTGTGTTGTCTTCCAGGATACCAATCAGGAAATGCTTCCAAAATAACATGAAAGGTTCATGGACATGTTTTACAAAGGGGCAAAATAAATAGCAGCGTGTGTGCGTGTGCGTGTGCGTGTGCATGTGCGTGTATTGGTCTTACCCCAGCAGAATTTGCTCATGGGGTGTCCAGGTTTAGCCAGGCTCCCAAACAGCATCTCCTTACGATGCGAGTCAGACGGCCTCGCCAGCTGGTACTCTGACCACACAGAGACAGGAAGTTAGAAAAGAGCCACGACAGAGGCAAATAAAAAAAGAGGAAACGGAGGTGTGTGTCAGTGACAACTCACCGCTGTCCACGGCCTCCACCTCTCTGTCAATGGCGTCCTCAATCATCAGCGGACAGATGAAGAACTGAGCCCACCTGAAACACACAGTGGTTTAATGTCTGTGTGCTTTGACAGAGTGGTGTCTGTTACCTCCCCACTGACTGGATGTTGTTGTCATGGAAACAAAAACCATTCAATCAGCAAGTATTTTGATAACTAATTAATAATTTGAGTAATTTTTCATTCAAACATTTTAGAAATGTACTTGTCTCCGATCCTCAATGTGAAGATTTTGTATTTTTCTCTGTTTTACGTCTCAGTGAACTCAACATCTTTAGGTTTTACACTTTGTGATGTGAAGACGTCACCTTGGACAGTATCGGGACAAATCTTTAACACCATGAATCTTTTGACCTTCACTCGTAATGACGACCTGACCAGGTGATGTGAACATAAATTCACCTGCATCCCCACATTCCTGCGGGACAATATCTCCAATCCACTGACTGCTAGTCTAAAAACAGCAACAGTGACAACAGGGCTACTCAGAGTGCATCAGCGGGCCTGGTGGAGAGCGGGTGAGCACTCGTTGTGATCTTTAATGAACCGGTTGACCTCCCATCAGAGAGGCAGATGGCCTGCAAAGAGCTGCTATCAACTCACACAGAGGACTCTGGCCTTCATGCCTGAAAACTCATGTTCTGACAGGAAATTCCTGCGTACCGGCCTGGAGTCCACTGTCAGTCACATATGGACCTGCTGCAGCTCTGCCAGAGTCGTAATAACATTTTGGTGTTTATCTAAGTATTAAAACATCTGAGAATTAAAACTAAACTAGCACAGAAACAAGAAAATAAAGAGACTCTTCTGGATCTGAAGTCAGCCTCACCTGTCGAGCGCCTCTCTGAAATACTTCCTCTGCACGTCGAACTGAAAGATGGTTCTCTCACAGTCGGTGGATGCGTTGTCGCTACCGCCGTGCTTCTTCAAGAAAGCATCAAAGCCGTTCTCTGCTGGGTATTTCTCACTGCCCATAAACACCACTGAATATCAGGTAGAGAGAAAGATAAAATAATCACTCTCAAGTTAGATGCTCTGCATGCAAAGATTTAAGAAGTTGTGAGTCAGGATGCAGCGTTAAAGCTGTGAAAGTTTTCTTGTAAACAAACAAAAGTTATGTTTATATTCAGTGTTTCCTCAAGTGTATTTCCTTTGTCATAAAAGATTTGCAAAGCTGATGTTTCTAGTTTTATAAATCCAGCACTGTTTACATCCATTCTTACTAGTTTACAGTCTTCTACTTCCCTGCCTTTGCTGAGTTTCTTGACACATTACAGCTACCTGCAGATTGAGGAATAGTATGAAACCACTGAGTAGGGTCTTCCTGCAGAACTGGAGGCTGCAGTTTCAGAACCCTAGTTTTTCACAACACTGCCACCTAAGGAAGTGGACAGCAGGACCACATTTGAGTAAGAAGATGGACAAGGTTCCTTCGTGTGTCCTCCTGACAAGTGGAGGTACTTGTCAGTGTTGCACACACTTGCGGGGGTCCTTCACTTTCCTTGTTATTGTTAATGTTTATTATTGTATATATATAAAAAGTCTATAATCTTGATTGTGTCCCGAGAGTTATATAGAAATAAACCAGAAATATTTGGTTGAGATCTAGTGACTGCAAAGGGCATAACATGTGATTCCACCCAGATTTTATCTGGTAATTATGCTAATTACACAAACTACCCGACATGCAACTCTTAGCAACCACAAGACACAAAGCAGCATTTGGGTGGAATAAACCATGCAGCCTTGAAATCAGCCTCCAGTACTCGTATCCAATAGGCGGCGATGGCGCAAAAAGGTAGGGTCCTAGAAACTGCTGCGTCCGGTACTACAGGAACATAATACTGGAAGCCAGTGACAGGCAGAGTACAGATCACAAACTTCACAGGGTGTGTTTACCTGATATCAGCACTTTATATCAAAAGTTTACATAAATGTTCATGTTTCACACAACTAACCCAGTGCAACACATTTAATATCTTCCTGGAGAGACCTTCAGAAAATATGCTCCATCATCCCCATATTTCATCAATAATCATGTCTCCCCGCCCTCCACAACGTTTTCCACACTACCTTTGAGTGTGGCCATTGGGAATCTTAGACACTTTTGATATCTGACATGGTCAGAGAACATCTTACAACCTTGTTCGGATACTTAAAACTTTTAAAACTCCGACCCACAGCTTCTTTTCAGCTTCGACTCACTGTGTTCCAGGAAGTGGGCGAGGCCAGGCAGGTCGTCGGGGTCACTGAAGCTCCCAACACTGATGCACAGAGCAGCCGCTGCCTGGAAACACACATACACAAATACATACATACATTAACTTTGTGTACTCGAACCCACTCATTCATCATCCACAAGACCATCGGGGATTATTAAAGGGAATTTATAGACATTCATAGGCTAATTATTTCTAACTATTCCACTATATCTTTTAGAAGACACTAGTTTTTAGTGATTGTCACACGGTGCATATGTTGGGGATTATTTTCAGCGGTGGATTAATATACAATTGGTGTTGAAATAAACTACTTTTTTTTTTTATCATTTCTGAAAACAATGGAGCACTAAAGCTCAGAGGAATCAGACATATCAGGCTGGGATTTCATGACAAGATGAAAAATATCAGAGACAAAAAAAGAGAAAACATTTAAAAATGTTGCATAAACTGACTCAGTGAAAACAGAACTGAACATACATTTAAATATTACAGAGATTCAGTCTGGGCAAAGACATCTGACACCTCTAAATCCTAGCAACTCTTCACATCACCCACCTGCTTCTCAGAACACCCTATCTTCTTGTTCCCTGCGTTCTCCTCGTCCAGCTCATCAAAGTCGCTGTCCTGCTCTTCTTCTTCGTTGTGCTCGTCATCCTCCTCCGACCCCTCACCAGAATCCCCTTCATCTTCACCTTCCTCCTCTTCCTCATCCTCTGTTTCCCCCTTGTCCTCTTCATTTTCACTGTCTCCCTTCCCATCAGCCCGACTGAAGTCGGAGATAAGGAGAGCCCGGAGGCCGTTACTCAGCTCGATGTATCTGCAGAGAGAGGAGAGGACCGGCATCAGTATCATCTCTGTATTTCTGGCTAGAGCTAGAAGTACTAGAGATAAAACAATTAGTCCAATAATCAATTAGTCAATGCTCATAAAAATAATCAGCAATTCTCACTGACCAGGATTCTTTAAGAGATAATATCTTGCGATTTTAGACTGTTGATCAGACAAAGGAAATAATTTACAGACATCTTGGTCATTGGGAACTTGCGATCCTCATTTTTCAATATTTTCTGACTAAACAATGAACCAATTTATCAAAGAAATAATCACTAGATTAATCAATAATGAAAATAATCATTAGTTACAGCACTGTGCACTAATACTTTATCATTCCTCATATTTCATACAGATGGTACCATTGGACGATCTGAAAATTAGATAAATGTATTGAAAGTGTAGATCGCTCATATAGATCACATCCTCAACAGATCCCACAATCAGCACAAGAATGTAGCAGAATAAATATTAATTTATCTTTTAACTTCATGCGACATGTCTATCATCATACAGTCATTTGTTCAGAGGTAAACTGATGCCCTCCTCTTCAAGAAGCCTAACTGAACAACACCAGACAGGTTTGATACGACAGTACTCAGCACACCTTACCAATATACACTCATTGTTAAAATGGAAGGAATGAGCTCAAAATCTGACAATTAATAAATAATTATAATCATTTTTATTAAGTAGAAATACGAACAAGAGACCATCTTCTGATGGGATCACAGCAGCCGCAACGGCCACACACACACAAGGTGAAAATGATACCAGCCACGCTGTCACGGCTGGTTAATTTGCTCAACTCACTTTCACAAATGCAACAAAGTTTCTTGCTTTTCTTCATGTCAAGTTAAAACGAAATTAATACTTTCTTGTTTCACTGCTGGACAAACCACATTTGAAAACGTCACTTCAGACTTGAGTTTCTCGGGTTTAAAGTTTGGTCAAAACTTCAAATCAACAAATCAACAAAACAAAACAACAAGAGTTTCCTTTTAAAACCATTTCACAAAGCTGCTGAGACACTTTTACTAAAGAGAACACCTGAGCTAAGAGAGGGTGTGGGCTTAATTAACTTAAAAACTATGTTTAAGGGGATTGGTTAACAGATGACTAGTCAGTGGATTAGTGTTAATACACATAAGAGATTCAAACACACTGAATTACACTGAATAAAGATACAAATCCTCATATTGTAACAGGCGGATTCTACATGTAGTCCCAGTGTTACCTGGAAATCCAGCAATGGCCATGAAGCCAGCTTTATTTATTTAATTCAGTTCAGCCATTGTACACTTAATGTTTAATTAATACTCCTGACAGACAGCTGAGATAGTCCAAGTCGATCAGCACTCAGAGTCAGAGTGGTGAGGAGTTGTACAAACTGTCATCTCTTGTGTTAGTAGATTATTTTTGACTTGTTGGTGAGCTGATGCATCTTTATTAACTTGCTACCATCAAAATATGCTTCTGAAAGTTATTTATCATTATATGATTCCAAAACACTGGTCTGACAAGGTGCATTACCTGCATCAGCTGACTGACTGTGAGCCAATCAGACTTAGGACCCCCTACCTTTCTGATTTGTGAAATTCTCTTACAGGAGTTCTAAAGTTAGGCCTGACACACCTGGACCACCCACACTATTTTTAGCCTTAGAATGTGAACATGTTGTGAACATGTAAACCAGGCATTTTTTTCTCCCACCTGTATTTTTTTGGGTCACTGGGTGATTTGATGACCTCCATGTCTCCCTTGTCTTCTGCATCGACTCCTCCGCCTCCATCTCCAGCAGCCACCTGGCCCTTAACTTCCACTGATGCTGGTGGTGGCTCTCCCTGGTCTGGAGCAGATACCTGTCCTGGCACGCCACCACTGCTCACTGACTTGTTGGTCTGAGGCATTTTTTACAGAGTCCTCTGGACTTACAATGCTAGACACAAAGAAAAACATACACGCACATGAAAATACAGTGATGTCCAACAAATTTAAGATAGACCGATTAAAGGACTAATATCTCTCTACTATCCCACCACTGCAGCTCAGCATGGAAACGCTGTGCTTGAATTGATAAAAGAGGCTAAAAGAGGCTAAAAAGACTATACATTTTGAAAGATTTCCACTTCATTAGACTAACTCAGACAGCAGCATCATATTAAATATATAAAATATATTTCACACAGCCAATAAGAACAAGAGTGGCTGCACAAATACCTCCAGCCAGGTTCCAAAAGAATGAAGCCTGTCACAGCAATGAATTAATGATAATGATTTAATGTGAGATTCACATATACTTGCAATGTTTGCATGTCCACACATTTCTGGCCATGTAGAATGTCGATTCATGTGTATTGGTAAAGAAAGACTTTCAGTAAATGTATACCGAATTCAAGAGTGTCATCTACTTAACGATCAACTATATCGATTCATATTTTGTCGTGTATTATTTTAAAACAGAATGAAAATATTGGATTTTTTAAAATGCAGTTTGGTGGCACAGTCTCGTCAGGCGAGCGAACTGCATGGGTTATCTGTGATATTAGCACTATGCGTCAGTGAGCAGAACATTCGTTAATATTCAGCGAATTTAACAGTTAGCTTAGCTGTCCGGAAACGCTACAAGGCTAGCAGGCTAACTGCTGAAGCTAACGTCATAATATTCACAAATAACGCCATTGCAGATACCGTTACTTTAATGACAGTCGGTGACGAAGTTAGCGGTTTAACCGGCTGGTAAGTTAGTTAACCTGGTTAGCCGTACATTAGCTTTCAGTAATCCTGTTGGTAGGAATGACACAACACCGACTGTTGGGCAGCGAGTTCTCAGCAGCAGTGGCTGAACTACGAGTCTGCGGCTGCTCAAAGGAATGTTCAGTCAGAAGCATGAAACAGCAATTTGGTTTGTTATGTTCTCTTTTCTTAAGGAGATGCTCACCTTTGTTTCTGCTGCCTTGATGCTAATGGAAGTTTGGACTGTCAGTCTCAGTGCAGCAGCCTAGCATGAGTCGGTTAGCGGCTAGCCAAAACAAAGCCTGTGATTGGCTGAAAGCAAATCAATCACAGACAAACGGGGCGTCTGATTGGTCGAAGCTGTGCAGGTTAAGGTTTGATTGAAAAACACTGGGAGAACTCTCAGAAGTGACGATTGTAGTTCTTTAACTGATGAGATAAATTGAAATAATAAATAACGAAATACAATATATCCAGTTGTACAAACTTGGTTAAATGTTGTAATCAACCACCAATAAAATAAATAAGATAAGATATTCTTTATTAGTCCCACAGCAAAGTGGACAGTACAAAGAAAGAAAAAATGTAAAATTACAATATCAAGTACTTAAAAATGATAAATAATATAATAATATAATATGTACAAATAGAAAACAAAAAAACTGCAGCAGATAGGTGATATTGCACAGTTGGTGTGTTAAATTATTGCACATGGTGATTTGTCAGTCTTTGGTGTGTCGTATAATAATAAAATCCTTACAGCATGCAAACCTTGTACAGTGAAATACAGTTTTAATCACCAACAATCAATAAACTTGATCAGTCCTTCGCAGCTTTAGCTTTGATGGATGTTCTGTTATTGGAAGAATGCAATTATACATTGTCAAGTGAGAATCAAAACATGAATCGACTTGTTTATGTATTCAGAAACATGCCCTGAGTAGTGTCTGCAGATCTTCCTTTCAAGCTGCACATAGCAGATGGATGTATTAAGAGAGCAAGTTCAGCAGGTTAAATGTTAAGAGAAAAAGTTCCTAAAACACACACCACTCTGTGTGGCCTGAGAGGCAAAACCCAGCATAATACACTTGCTGCTGTATATGTATGTAGCTTATGTATAGATATGTTTTTGAACATCCACTTTCTACATAATGTTTCCACACACATTAATGTAAGTGCAGTGCATGGTAGTGGACCTAGACTAAAGTTTCTCTGGATTAAAAGCTTGACAGTATGAGGTCACTGATCAGACAGATGTTAGTAACCAAAGTGTGACTGTTAATGTGTAAAAGTGTGAGGGTTTTATTTTACCCTTTCTTATAATAAAACCAAACAAGAGCACTGTAACATGCTCTGGATTTCACATGCAAATTCTTTCATGACAAACTGTGGACATTTGTGATCTTTGAACTTTTTGTGATCAGCAGATGAAAATAATTTTATTTTTATAATATTGATCAGTTTCATAGTTTACCATGTGATTGTGGATAGCCAATGTGGGCAGCAGCTGTTCTTGTGTTATTGCTGAATATCATTTATGATAAACAGATGTGTTGACGGTTGAAATGTCAAAGCTGTGGTCCTGGTGTCACCCATGTTGAGCATCCTAACACATGAAATGCTCTGGTGGAATGATATGACCATAGACTGTATATAGAAATGACATTAAAACAATTATTAAACAACATCTAAATTCTAAGTAATCCTTGTGTTGTTATTGTCATATTGTATATCCAAAAGCTACATATAGTCTTAACAGATTTTAGGATAATTAGATTTAACTCAGTACAACAGAGTCAGATAAAGTGGGACAGGAGATTTCAGGTTGAGTGGCCCTGAGTCAATCAATTAAAATATTAAAACAGGAATGATTTATCCTTTTATTTTTAATAATAAGCAGTAACTATGTACAAATATATTAAAAGTTATATAAAAAGTAATTTTTTTGTTTATTAAAAATCACTTTACTTGAACTAGACAAAAAGAGAATATAAAGAAATATAAGAGCTATATTATAAAAAGAAATATTACACTAAAACAACAATATATTTTTCTTAAAAAAGTTTTTTTCAGTATGGTTTTACTTTTTATGACGGCCAAATTTCATACTCACGCCACATGAACAACTGATTCAGAGCAATAACAATGTTCATACGTGTTTTTATTCTCTTTTATTTTATTTACACATTTCACTTTACTTTACTTATTTTTGTTTGTGCCCTTCAAGCTTTTTTTTCCTCTTATGTTGTGTTTTGATGTGTGTGCTTTTGATTTTCATTTGTTATGTTTTTACACTGTATTCAATATTTTTTCTGTCATGTTTTTTAATAGTAGTATAAGGTACTACAGGGTATATTTATTTGACAAATAGCGTAACTTTACAAAAGACATTTCAGAGATGGAAAAGCTCAGCCAGATGTTTTGATTAAAGATTGTGATTTTTTATTATACTAAATTGCATCTATAATATACAAACATTCACAATATTTTTGTACAATCACTTTGTGCTTCTCCCCCGTACAGGAGTGAACTGTAAGACAACAAGTTTACATAAACTCTCTATATAATTTGTCCATGGTATACACAGCATAAAAATAAATTCATACTCAACACCATTATAATTTCTAATTCTATCATTTACAAATTCACTTAAAAAATAATCATATGAAGACAATGTCAATATTATTGTATGTTTTTATCAATATGAGGAAACACAGTGGGGAGTCACACACAAAAACGTGCGCTGTTGTAGCTATATAACAATTTGGCAGGATATTGTTTTTTCTATCTCCATAATATTTAATAATAAATGCACAATTTTTTTCCTCAACATCTTTCCTTTTTCTTGAAGTCGTTCATTTGCACACACGTACTGTATCTCAGCTGACATGACATTATCAAAATATCACACTTCCGTCAAAGATACCGTACACAAACACAAAAACCTTCACAACTGAACACGCAATAAATATCATGATAACCATATGCAACAATAGAATGTGTTGGCTCTAATATCACACACGCACACACACACACACACACACACCCACGCACACTCATGTAGGAAACACTGCGAACATGACGGCTACGTGACTACACCTGCTGAAGGGGAGGGAGAGAACCGTGTGCTCTTCACTCGTCAGCTCTGCTCACATGTGCATGTGTGAGTATAAAACACCCTCAGTATGGCGTTGGATTGTGTCGGCCAGTGCAAAAGCTATAAGCCACCATGAAGCAGGGCTGCAGCTCTCAGCGGCAGTCTGGGCTCAAGTCTCTGGCAGTCTGGAGGGTCTGATACGGGTCTTGTACCTGATTAGTTGATCTTTTTTTTGTTCTTTTCTGGTCCAGTTTGGTTTCTGAGCTTTGATTAGTTGGTTATTTACTCCTGGGGAAACACCGGAAAATCTCATGTGGAAGTTTGCTCATGACAAAACAAGAAAAGTAAACATAAAAAAAACAAATTTTAGTGTCTAGATTTGATGATGTGCACCTGACACCTCCAAGTTGTACAACCATGACCCCCTGTGCTGGATCAACTTTACTTTATTGAAGAATATGCTCCATGTGAAGACAATACAGTATAGACTATGGTTTTAAAGCTAGAGTTTGACGCGGGCCCCTTCATAGGACGTGGCCAGATAGTTAACTAATAATATAGTGGTGCAAATAAGTTAAGATAGAAACAAATCAAATTGCAGTGGAGATGGATGAATCTGTGGCTTTTTCTGTCAAATGTTGTTTTAGGTCTTTAAAAGACTTGGTCCAACCCTAGTGTGAACATCACTTTAAGTGTTTCCTTTATTGTTGATGAAAGTGCATCACAAGTGCTGTTATTATTGTTCCAGTATATTGATTTGTCTCATAAGTTTACCTGATATCTGCTCTCAACCCATCACAAGAAGTCCTGTTAACTTCATGTTGTAGCATGTCACGGTCACGTTTGGGACTCGGCCCTTTCCCTGTTCAGCCTTTGACTCAAATGATTTCGGCTGCAGCCCTGCCTGGGAGTTGTGCATTGGTGGTGTAGCCCTAAAGCGTCTTTCAAGCCAAAAACAGCACTAAGTAAGGCCAGTAACAGTTAGTGTGCTATAGGCATATTGTATCAGAGTGAACCTAACTATCACTAGCAATCTGAAAAGCAGCCTAGCTGATGTTTTGGCGCATGACTCGCGGGTGAACGACTGCGACCTGTAAACTTGTGCATGAGCAGCTGTGGTGGAGTGAGTTTCTTGTTGTGCTACACTTTGAGGAGAGGCAGTGCTGTGCTTTCCTGTGGACAATGCCTCCAGCTCTTCCTGACAGTGAACTCCAACAAAATCTGACGTTCGGCGTGTTCAAAACAAAGACGACCAAAATGAAACGGCACGTTCGGCCGAGACTGGGGCAGTGTGTGTGAGATTTCCAGATGTACAGTACATCTCAAAGGTCACACAACCACCATTACTGTTGTTGTTTCATCTGCAAGTCAACAATGTAATTATCTGAGGCCTGTGTTGTCTGGGTTCATTTGTCTGGAACTTCCATCTGCATGGAAAGACCAACACACACCAGCAACATACAGTATGACACATGTCAAAACAGCTGCACCAACTGTTTTCTGTAAAGTGCACAAAACAGCAGCATCTTTATGTCATCAGTATTTGCTGCTATCATATTTGTAGTGTTGACGCTCATTAACTGTTCAGAGGGGCTTCCTCACTTCCTGTACAATGTGCTAATATGTTTTATATTTTGCACTGATATTTCAACGTTATTGGTTTTATTTCTTTTTTTGGAGAGATGTTTTTATGAGCCCTTTTTTTAAATTTCACCACCACTCCTTTAAAACATGTAATTTGTGCAAAAGCTCTGCACATGTAGGCTACTGATGGCATGTCTGGTGTGTGTTGCCCTTAAGCATTTGGAAACGATCCTGCGGTCTGCTTTCTTTTATACTGGTTCTAATTTTGGCTGTGATGCTTGAACCTGCATCCAAACAGGAAGCTGGATTGGCCAATAAGCTTGTGTACAGCTTCTTTGTGACTTATAGCACCCTCACCTACTTAGAGACGTTAGCATGTATCCTTACAGGTGCATGATTCCAGATTTAAGGCTCGGTTACACCAGAATTTAAAATTTAAAGTTATATAAATTAGATCTGCTGTAATCAACCACAACTTTGCACTGTTGACCAATAGCAAACCATCATGACAGTACTGAACTTTAGAGTGAACCAGGTGACTCAGATTTGTCCGCTTTTATGCTGTGTTCACGTCATTGCAAGAAGGAAAGTAATGATGGGAAAGACTCCTATGTGTACTACTTGTGAGTCATCGCACAACTCAAGATGGCAGCTGTCATTCTTCTTGTGCTACTGCTTTTCTTTCTGAGAAGGATTTATCAGAACCTTTGATGTTGACATGAACGCTGTTTACAAGTGGGAAACTGTTAGTTATGTAACTCAATTATCACATGTCTGCTGCATTATACTGTATTACCCTCCTCTGCCGCTCCAGAGAAACGGTTAGCAGTTATGACATGTGCCAATGGCACGAATATCTCAAATAAAATGTGCTTCATATTGTCCAATTAGCAACAAAGCTCTGTAGCTTGCCAACTGGCAGTTACCAAACTGCCAGCTCTGAGAAACACTGTGACTGATGGTTTTTTACTGGTTAGCAAGTTAGCAGTTGCAGTGGTTTGCGAGATAGCAATGTGTGCTATGTCACTTTCTGGGGTGATCGGGCCTTTATTCTCCTCATCATGCTAACCCTAATGTATCTAGCTTGAACATCATTACCTAACTCTAGTCACAGTTAGCATGCTAGCTTTTCAACGCAGACCTACAATCAACAGTGGTTGCAGAAACTTTTGAAACAATCCAAACATGATTTAGTTTGGAGCACACTGCTGCCCTTACTCCTCCGTCTATGTAAGGGCCTCCTCAGGTACTTGGGGATAGGGAAGGAATGAAACTGGCTATATAAATGTTAGTTAGCAGAAACTGCAGTAGGCATAGTGATTATTGACGGCTCACAAACATGGACTGAAGCAGAGAGTGTGTAGAGGAATGTTACGATAGTTAATCTGTTTTTTTCTTTTTCTGGGGGGGTTAGCGGACGAGGCGACAGCGAAGGGGTCACAGATGATCAGCAGCACTTCTGAGGTAGCTGGGCGGGCTTGTCGGTCAGTCTGGTGGTCTTGGTGGCAGGAGCCGCCGGCACCTCCACGTCCACGCGCTCTGACATCTTCACACAGATGATGTCCACCAGGCGCTCGAAGACCTGCCGCACGTTGATGTTCTCCTTAGCACTTGCCTCGTAGTACTCAAAGCCTGCGGGAGGAAAAAGGAGGGTTAAACTGGTGAAAGGAACATGTGGCTTTGTTAGTTTTTGTTATACTATTATTTTCTCAGAGGTAAGAAATATTTGGTCAAGCTTAATTTTTTTAAGTCTGTTATTTTCAAATAATTTCTTTAAAGTTTGGGTTTAATTACAGGAAAAATAGAGGGAGAGTTTTAAAACTATTAAGTTCAATTAGTTTTGATTATTATGAATTTCCATTAAAGAAATTGTTCCATTTAAACTCCAGTGAATATTTAGTCCTTATCCATTTATTAATGGAAACTTAATACGTCTTTATTTATGCTGAATTGTTTGTGTGTAGATATTGAAATGTATGTAGACTGTAAATAAAGATGGATGTAGCCTCTGTGACATCACCCACGGGTTTCTGAAGAGCTTCTGTGAGCTGCTCCGCCGTCGCCATCTTGGCAGTGTCTGACCCCACCCCTAACTCCCAGCTAATCTAAAAATGGTCAACGAGATGAGGCTTGTGCTGAGCTGAGACTTCGGTGCACGAAGTGGCAAGCATACACTTACCCACCTGTCATTCAAAGATGCCACGCCCTAAATTATACATAATTTTAAGCCTTAATAAAATGTAAACAGGTGAGTTACAGAAACAGGTTTCATGAAGGTGGAATTTAGCTATAGAGAGCAAAACAGTTTTTGTACCAGGCTGTAAACATGTTTATTTCTGCTCTAAAGTTGGACATTTTAACATGGGAGTCTATGGAGACTGACTCACTGTTGGAGCCAGACTCTAGTGGTCCATGGGGGAACTGCAGGTTTTGAGACTTGATTTTTGGTCATTTTTCAGCCCAGGTTGATGCTTGTGTTGCTCACCTGGTATCTTCTAAATAAAAGTCTCAATGATTCTTTCCAGAAAAGGTGTGAGGTGATTATTTGTTTTGTTTAACGAGGACACAAGCCAGAAAAAGTTTAGAAACCTACATTTACACTGCTCTCATTAGGCCTCTTAAAGACTTCAGTTGGGTGTGGTTTAATCCATTTGAGCATCTCAAGGTGTGTTTGCTGTTTTCAGACTCTTCTACCCACTTCACAAATATCTAAATCCTAGTGAGGCTTTTTCAGCTTCATGATGCTGATCCAAACATTTGGATGTGGTGTGATACCCCACTTTGTAATGTTTCAGTCTCCACCTGTAGCTGCTCACAAAATACTGTTATAATATGACGTCTCATCACAAAATAAAATAGGTTGACCTGGTGAGTAACTGTGTTATTGTCAGAACAAACTCTTTTCTTTGTGCAGCCTGAGGCGTGCATGTTTATTCAAGTCTGGTAAAAGTGAAAAAAAATACCAGTAGAGCTAAAACCAGTATGGTATGTTTGTTATCAAAAGATCTCCTTGGCTCTGGGCAATAAACAACACACTAATAGGCATTACTCAGTACACACACCCAGGGGTGAAGTCATTTTCTCCTGGAGTTGAACGGGTTAATACACGTTCAGTTACTAAGCGTGTTTTCTCAGAAACAAAGATGAAATGATTTTAACCAATGAGCAGAACCTAAACCTCTGGTCTGGTTCCATTATCCTGGAGGTTCCTGTGGTTCTATGCTGAGGAACATTGTGAGATCAATAAAAGAAATACTCACAGAACCAGAGGCTCCTCACACCTGACACCTTCAGGTAACATGAACAGCGTGGTAGGTGTTAAGAGTTCTGTTAGCATATGAAACCTGAGCTGGAGAGTATTTGCTGTGGTATTTATTTAGCACCCAGGCTGAGAGTATTTAGCAGTGCTGAATCAGCAGTGTCTCACCTAACTGGTCGGCGAGGTGTTTTCCTTTCTCTGGAGGTACGACTCTCTCCTCGTCCATGTCGCACTTGTTGCCCACCATGATCACCTGAGCGTTATCCCACGAGTACGTTTTAATCTGAGTGGCCCTGCAAACACACACACACACACACACACACACAGAGGTAACAACAAAAATCATTAGCTGTGTCTGACTTGAATCTGAACTTCTAGTTTCTGTCCAATCACGTACCAGTCCTGCACGGCGTTGAAGGACTCCTCGTTGGTGATGTCATACATGAGGATGAAGCCCATGGCACCGCGGTAGTAGGCCGTGGTGATGGTGCGGTATCGCTCCTGACCTGCCGTGTCCTGGAAACAAAAACAAACAAATCACTTTTTGAAGCTGCCTGTCAATACTAAACTTCTAATATGTTGGTATATCCTCTAGAGACCAACACCAGAGCAGGTCAAAGTCCAGTTTAGAGCCACCTTATTTTTCAAATTGAATTTCAACTGTGACCTTAAATACACCAGAAAACAAGCATCCAAAGATTCTGGCACTGATGATAGGAGAAGACATGATGTGTGCAGCTCTTCACTCTGCACCTGACCTCACACAAATATATATATATATATATACAGTATATAAATATATATGGATATATATATATGGAAAAAGCCAATCGTAATGTCACCAAGAAGCATTACAGATACAGACCTAGACACATTCCTGCCAGATGTTGAAAAGGTGTTCAGGCATCTGTCTGTCCAGGACACATACATACTGACATGTGTTTCTATTATTTCATCCACCCCATCTAACTTGCAACTTAAAACGTAGAAGTAGGTTAAATAACAGAAGCACCGCTCATTATAATAAAATACACTTAAAGCTCCATAATGATCACACAGTTGAATCAGCTCCTCTTAACACAAACTGAACTGTTACAACCTTCATGAAGGAGGATTTGTTACAGGACTGTTGTATTAGACTGATTTATTTTTATCTAGGTGTTCCTAATAAACTGACCTCTGGGTGTATACATCCATACATCCATCACTTATTTATTCTTTTTTTATATATATATATTTTTTGGGCATTTTTGCCTTTATTTGATAGTACAGTGAGAGGTAGACAGGAAAGTCAGGGAGAGAGAGTGAGGGGATGACATGCAGCAAATTTCTGTGGGTCAGTTTCCAACCCATGGCTGCTGCGGTTAGGACTAAGTCCATGTGGTACGCGCTCTACCAGGTGAGCCACCAAGGTGCCCCCATACTTGTTTATTCTTGAGGGTCAGTTGGTGGCCAGAGCCAATCCCAGCTGACACTGGGTAAGAGGCGGGGTTACACCTGGACAGATCTACAGTGTATCAACATTCACGCTCACATTCATACCTACTGGCAGTTTAGAGTTGCCAGCTCCAGCTGGGAGGAAAGTGTGTGTGTGTGTGTGAAGTCAGTGTGGTGTTGGACGGGCTCATTGAGCCACTTAGTCAGATGGTTGTTGTCAGATGTTCTGTGTAACTACTGGACACTGTATTCTGTTTACAGTGAGTGAGGATAAGCCCATATACCAACATGCTAAGCTAGGATAATGCTGCATCCATTCTGGCATGTTTGAAACCAGACTGTTTGATTTGGCAAACACTACGGGTGCCGTTTCCATGGTGACCCAAGCATTGAAATAACAAACAGGAAAACTACAGCAGGTCGGCTACAATCATGTGTGCAGATAATGTCTAACCTTTTACCTCAGCATCGATTTTGTTATTGCAAAGTCAGATATCACTGTATGAATTATAACAGTAACACAGAATAAATTAAATATACTAATCCTGAGACAAAGATCATCCCCCCAACACACACACACACACACACACCTGTTCTCACCTCACAATAACACACAGTGATGTGTTGACGTTGTGACTTCACACTGATGTTCACAGAGACTGAATCTACACTTTAGCACCTCTCACCCTGTCACCATCAGCAGCTGAACCACAGTCTGTGTCTGTTCAACCCTCAACAGAGCCACAAGATAAATCTGGGGGGTTGAAAGATGATTAAAAGTTAAGAAAGAAAAAAAAAATTATGTTACATGAAATATAACATGTATATGTTACATATGAAATATAAGACTTTTTCTCTGCTTCAGGCCTCTGGAAATCCTGCTCTAACTCTTATCCTGAACACTTGAACTCTTGTTTAGATGGAGTTTATGGAGAAAGCTGCATTTACTTAAAGCAAATCAAATACACAGAGTAACAGACGCTTGTGTAAAGCTGGGTTTATAGTTGTCTGTAACTACACATCAAGGCCCTGTTCAGAGAGGCAAAGCTAAATGGATGTAACATAGCCCACCAGCTCTCACTATCACAAAGTAAATAAAAACGTGTAAACACAGTAAACAGGGACGCCTGCAGGAGGCTGTGTCAGCGTGTTTAAAAACCAAATAAGATCCAGGAAGTCTGTTTGGAGATACAGATTAAAATGTTCAAAAGCTTTATCAGACGCCACAACATCACACACAGGTTTGTAAGACCTGTAGGATTTTACAACTTTGTCATGATTATGGCAAGGTAAACTTTAATACTCCACACACTACTATGAATGTGTTTTAGATGCTGTGTATTAATGACACTGTGTTTGCTTGTTCATTTTGAACCGTGTTAGCAGCAGGGCTCCATGGACGTCACTTACAGACAGAAAAACCACATGAATTCCACGTGCAAAATCACATGGTGGCACATGTGATCACATGAGAAAACATGTTAAAATCACATGTTAAAATTTCGCATGTGAAACTTTATATACTGATTTGAAAAACAAATGTGAAATTTGTGAAATATTGAATTTCACATGTGCATTTTCATAAGGGATCCACCTCTTAGGTCTAGACTGAAATATCCAAACAACTACTGGATGGACTGTTTGTTCAAAGGTCCATGGTCTCCAGCGGATTAATTCTACAGACTTTGGTTATTCTCACCATGAGCTTCACATCTTCAGTTCAGACTAAAATATCTCAACAACTACTGGGTGGACTATGATGAAATTTCATTCATGTTCCCCTCAGGATATATTAATAATTTCAGTCCATCATCTGACTTTTAATCTAGAACCGTAATTAACTCAACATGTCCCTTTGTCCAACACACACTTGCAGAACTGATTATGTTCCCATCAGCCTCAGCTTTGTGTTTACTGCTTATTAGCAAACGTTAGCATGGTGACATGCTAAACTAAGATGGTAAACATTGCACTCGCTTAACATCAACACATTAGCATTGTCACTTTGAACGTGTTAGCATGCTAGTGTTAGCATTTAGCTCGAATCCAGCCTCACAGAGCTGCTAGCAGGGCTGTAGACTTTCAGTTCCGTTTCTATACAAATAAAACTGCTGCAACAAAAGTGTTTTGTAGGAAACGTGATCTCTGTCTGGGTCATGGTTAAAAGCTATGTAAGCAGAGTCTCCAGGAGGTGGCTGTGGTGGATGGAGGACGTACAAAGTTGAGGACTGTCAAACACAATGGTTCACATCCAGAGTCCCGTCTGTGGTTTAGGAAACAAAAGCACTTTCGTTCGTTAAAGATGGTGGTTTTGGTTCATTTGTGATTTGCCAATTATTTAAATTAACCTGGCTCCTCATTAAGGTCACAGAAAACAGAATCTGGTCACAGTCATGTTTCCTATAAAACACATTTGCAGTTGCAGTTCAGTTGTATAGAACTATTTAGGAGACAGGCTCTTATTGTTTGTAGCTTGTTCTCCCTGTGGAGAGGAGGTGTCTATAGATATAGAAGCAGAAGCAGGTTCTGCAAAAAGCATTTTTATACATACAAATTCACAATGAGTAGAAAAGGTAGTTTGAAACGTGATGACATAATAAAAGCTTATCAGTTATAAAGTCTGCTGCTGCCAGAGTGTGAATATCTCACTCTCTAATCTCACAGGGACAAAAGAGCCTCATCTCCTCTAAGACCCTGAACTACCTTATCTGAAGCAGCTCAGACGCTGCTCCACTGCACAAACCAGCTGAGCCTAAATGTGACTTTCATGCCCGTCCGCGACGGTCACATAGCGCCGCCATCCTCCATCCTCATAGCACCGCAGCTGGTCTGGGTGCAGCAGTTTTTCTAAATTTAGCTCTTTTGTGATTTGCTTCCTGTGCACTCATTCAACAATCCCTAGTTTTCTCCTTCTTCTTTCCTCAGGGACACAGCGAGTGCTCGTTCACATTTAATTAACTGAGATTTGATGTGGAGTATAAATGTGTGTGTGTGTGTGTTTGTGCGTGTGTGTGTGTGTGTGTGTGTGTATGTGTGTGTGTGTGTGTGTGTGTATGTGTGTATGTGTGTGTGTGTGTGTGTGTGTATGTGTGTATGTGTGTGTGTGTGTGTGTGTGTATGTGTGTATGTGTGTGTGTGTGTGTGTGTGTATGTGTGTATGTGTGTGTGTGTGTGTGTGTCACAGACATTAATCATGGAGAGTGTGAGCAGAGCCTCAAGCAGTGACTGATTCTTCTCTGTTTAGCTGTTTAAAAGCAAAGAAAAATGTGTGTTTGATTTCCACAGAGAACGTCACTGCACATGGGCCAAAAGTATGTGGACAGTACACCGATGTTCATTAACCTGCTGCTCTAACAGCCTCCACTCTCCTGGTTTCTGTCTTTCCAGCACATGTTGAACCTGCTGCAGAGGTTTACTCCCGCTCAGACGCAGGAGCGTCAGTGAGGTCCACAAGTGATGTTGGGTGATCAGGCGCGGGTTTCACAGAGATGTCTCAGACCGGTCAGTAGTGTTGGACTAGTCTTCATGTTGCTCATAGATCAGTCTAATGCAATTAAAGCCATTTCACAAAAGTAAAGACTGACTCATTTTAAGACAAAAACATTAGACACCTTACCATTGGTCTTAAGCCTGTGGTTAGCCTGGGGGCTAACTCAGGCTTAAGACCAATGTTACCATGGTAACCATCCATTTATCCACCCAAACTCTATCTATGAGAACATGTCCCAGGGTTTTACCTCCAGACACACACACCTGAGATAACTCCTCGCGCTGCAACTCTATGGCAAAACCAAGATTTTATAGCTAGTCTGTGTTCTACGTGGTCCATGTAGTTTCTCCCACTGGTTTTCTTCCCTCAGTCTTTCTGTACGGTGGCCCTGAGAGCTCAACACACTGGAGCTTGCAGACAGACAAAGCACAAGCAAAAAAAGAAAACATCTGGACAGAAGAATGTTTGAAGAAAAATGCTGCAATATGAGAAAACAACAGGGAATGTTATTAATTTAATTATCTGACAAGTTAACCACAGATGGGACTGTGGGTGTGAACCTGGTCTCAGTTCGTACATCCTCCACCATCCACCACAACCACCTCCTGGAGTCTCTGCTGCTGTAGCGTTCATTCATTCATTCAGTCATTCAGTCATTCATTCCAAAAATACATGCAGTCAGAGATGATGTTTCCTACAAAACATGGTTGCTGTTACAATTTAGTAGAAGAGGCGTAATGTCTAGGAGACAGGGTCGACTCCCAGCCTTTGATATCAAGCCTATGGTGTGATAACATTAGTGTTGTGTAGCAAACATGGAGTTTAATTAAGCTCTTACATACATTTGTGTTGTTGTTTGTGTGTGTGTGTGTGTGTGTGTATTGTATCTATTTTTACTCATAACTGTGCTTTCAGTTTGAATCAATTGGCTCTGATTAGCTCTACTTATGGCACTGCCCCCCACCCCTACCCATACACACACACACACACACACACACACACACACACATACACACACCCGTACCACACACCCTCACCCCTTCACGGTCCTCTGCCCCCTGCCGGCTCTCAACCTCTTTGCCCCAAGAGGTCTCTTTAATTGCCACTGAAAACAGCACTGTTAGTGTGTGTTTCTGTGTGTGTGTGTGTGTGTGTGTGTGTGTGTGTGTGTGTGTGTGTGTGTGTGTGTATGTGTGTGTGTGAGCGAGAGCCTGAGTGAGTGTGAAGAGCTGCTGCCATGGCAACACCATCACCAACTGATGATACAAGCTATAGCCCAGAAGTCTCTGTGTGACGGTCTTTTCTTTTCTTTTCCCTCCCAGCAGCAGCTTGTTGTTGACTGAGAGCAGAACATCATGTTACACTGCACCACTCATGTGTTGTATTATGTTACAGTATGTTATATTATCTTATGTTGTGATATACAGTATTATTATCACACATCCTGTGGATACATTAAGCTATAAATTCATAAAATATATGAAATACCCATGGTAAAATTACATGTTGTTAAATTAAATGTACATATTTTAAAAATTTCTATGATGAATTTTATTTTTACGATATGCTGCGATCATATATGTTAACGATATGCATTTAATTTATATTTGCAAGTTTATTAAAACAACATACATATATAAATTCAATATGTCTATATATGTTTTACACCGGTTTCTGTTTTTATTTTCATTTACATATTTTATCATTTACTGTCTTTGTATTGTCTATTTTCATTACTATTAATGATTGTACTATTAGATTTTTTTTCATTGTAAAGCACTTTGAGCTACATTCTCTTGTATGAAAAGTGCTCTATAGATAAAGTTTATTATTATCATTATAAATAAATTACCATGATATCAGGTTACAGTATATTATGTTATGATCAGTTATGTGATGGGCTGTAATGCTGCTGCACACTAGAAGCTTCCTGACCGACACAGTAACTCTGCGACAGTGGACTGATGGGATCTCGTCGCGCTCATCACGAAATCCTGCGAATCCTGCCTCCATTGGTTTCCTCTAGCATTTTGCTAACGAGTCATGCTCACTGTCTCCCGCGTCACAAATTCTCACCAGTTTACTCTGTAGTGAACGGCAAAGTGAGAAGTTATGAAGTGTTATCACTGACAGGTGCAGTGACCCCGTCCATCCTCACCCAGATCTGCAGCTTGATCCTCTTGTCATTGCGATACACCGTCTTCACCTTGAAGTCGATGCCCACGGTGCTGACGAAGGAGTTGCTGAAGGAGTCGTCGGCGTAGCGGAACAGGAAGGACGTTTTCCCGACGCTGCTGTTACCGATAATCAGCAGCTTGAACATGTAGTCGAAGTTCTGGTCCGAGCCGTCCCGCTGGCCGAAACGCTGGTCTGCCTTCGCCATCTGGAGGTTTGGTTTGAAGAGAGAAGAAAAAAGACAGTTAGTGACACAGCCGTGCAGTGGCAGGGGGATATTTACTAACTGGCGCTGAAAACAAAGGTTTGCAGGTTTTTCATAAAAGTATTGGACAAGTTGAACATTTGACCTGATGATGGTGCTAGACGAAAGGTCACCACTGTTATCACAAGTCATCCTGATCGGAACATGAACGTCTGAACCGCATTTCATCTGAATCATGCAACAGTTGAGATGTTTCATCCTGAAAGTGGTGGAACCGACCGACTGAAACTGCAGAGAAATGACTTCAAATGCGGGTACAGTCATCTACTCTAGGTTACCTTGCACGCAAGAGTTTATGAGCTGTGAGGCACATTTTCTTGCCCTGGGTTTTGTCTATCAGGCCACATACAGGCTGCCCTAACCATCTGATTGGTAGAGCTCGATGGGGCTGGAAAAATTCAGATTTAGAGTTAATTAATAGCAACTAATGAACCTTAAGTAAGTAGTGTAAGTTCAAAAAAGAAGACTTCTCGTAATCAGCTCATCTCAGGTGTTTTCCGTAACCAGTCGGATTTCGCCATCATCTCAACCAGCTAATCATGTTGTCGCTGTCAAACTTCAAAATCGATTCTTCCCTCTCTCCTGCTGTCAGCTTTCATTTCAGTGCTTATTGCTGCGACCCTCCTCCCACCCAATCCACCTCCAGTCTTCAGATCCAGGACCAGCTCCAGCTCACCAGTGTCCACTTCAAATCCAGATCACCTGCATTCTCCTCTTCCCACCACCACCACCACCACGGGTCGGTCAAAATCACTGCAACTAATGCTCCTGACTTCCTGGTATGCTACAAGCGTTATACTATTCACAACTTCCGGGTCACACCAGAAAAATCAACCCAAATTTGAGAAAGATGATTCCGAGACAGGTATTTCAATTCCAAATTTTTTTATTTGTAATCACACCAAGGAAACACAGATAATGGTTTGTTTTGTCATTTTCTATTTTTCATTATCAAACCACTTCTTATTTCAAAACGGAAATTTGTTGGCCGCCAAGTGTTCCTGTTCTTCACGCAACCTCACCCCCTTTTCACGTATGATGACATCACGACGGGATGGACTGACTCTCGGTGACTCTTAAGTCTTAAATTGTTCGTTCTCTTGTTTGTGTTTTGTAGTTACAAATGTTAAGATCTATCTCTCTCAGTTATCTACCAGTGAAACTAAGTGTCATTTTCATGAGTTAGTGCCTTAACAATACAGAAATGAATGCAGTGTTTTATGTGAGGTAAAATAAAATGTATGTAAAAGCAGAAGTAGTCTATTTAAATTTTCTTTTTCCTGTTCGATGAACCATGTCCCTCAGTAACCACAAAATGTTAACAACCATGTGGGTTTTGTAATGACTCTCATGTCAAAGGCAGTTTGAGAATATTCTCTGATTTCTTGCCGTGTCAAACTATTTCGAAAACCTGCAAAATAAACTGCAGAGAAATCTGCTCCTTTGTTCCTGACATTTCAGGAGTTTTCAGCCGACTGTGACGATGAGCTGCAGCCAAATACTCTCCAGCACAAACAAACCAACAAAACCCACGGCGGCGCGTTAAACAAAGACACGGTGCAAACAAACATTTCCGGTTAGACTTCACCTGCCGAGTCAAATGAAGTCAAAAGAAAAGCTGGAGCTGCCTCCTGGTTCGACGCTGCAGACAGGTGGAGGTCGGTGCGAAGGGTTAGTGTGTGAGGACTGGATGAATGTGAGCAGCAGATGAGTCAGAGCCGAAGATCCTGCTGGGTTCAATCTAGCGTGGATGGCAGCGACCGGGGGAGGAGAAAATGACTGCAAATACATGTGAAATTATAATTCTAGCTGCGGGGAACGCTCAGCTGACACCCCTGATCTGTGGATTTGTGTGTGTTCTGTTATGGAGTGATTCACTTCAGACCAGTTGGTGGAAAATAACTGACTTTCGTCTGTGAGCCAAGAGTCATTTCTTAGCGTTTTTCCACTGCACTCTAAAGGAATAAAGCCTGCTGCAGATCTGTCACTCCAGAGCTGCTGCTTCCTATTCGAGACTTGTCATGTTATCTATTGTTGATGAGACAGAAGAGCCTGTGCCCCCATATTAATAAGCTTAACCATGGTTTGATTTTTTTTTAACACACTCACAATAGAAACTGTCACAACACTGACAAGAAGTAGCAGCTTGTTGACTAAAATCTCCAGATTTCTGAGAGAAAATGCACTAAAGCACACATTGTGAAGAAGTTGAAGTACCCCGTAAGCAAATGTAATATATGTACATATATTGAATCTTCATATATGAAATATATGCACATATAAAATAAAAACATATATGTCATAAATATATATGAAACCCATTAGAAATCACAACTATTTCATATATTGACATATATGTCTACCCCATACAAATATGTATATTTATGTAAACGTATTTATCCATATATATCCATCCCAAAGACTGTCAGTATGTTGATAATATAAACAGTTGGGTCCAAAAGACTGAGACCACTTTCCCAGAACATGAAGATAGATGATGTTTAAAATTAATGAGAAATGAATAAGAAAAACATAGAATTTTTATATGAGTGTTGTTTTAATAAGCTTACATATATAAATTAATATATCATTAATATATATGGTCGCATCATGTCATGCCATATAAAAATTCATAGATATTTCAATATATGTACATAAAATAACATTTTACTACAGATACTTTATATATGTTATAAACTTATATCTTCATATATCCAGAGGATGTATATATGTGATTATAATATATCCCCTTATAGGTGACATATACTGTATAGCAACTTCACTCTTGATATAGCATCAGATGTGTCATATATTAGATTTCTGTGTGGGCCCACAGGGGCACTGTGCAATGTCAGTTTCACTTATAACTGAACCCAAAGAGAATGATCAAATCTCTCTGGAGGTTTTGAGCCTCTTTTAGCCAAACACTGAGATAAAGGAGAGGAAGTAATCAGCATTAAGCAAATACAGGCAGATAAAACAGCTCAAGGGACATCTGAAAAAAAAGAAAAGAATAACTCCTCCTTGCAAAGGTTGGGGAAAATTTCAAATTTCGAATTGGCTTTTAAAAGTTGCAATTTGGTTCATGCCATCAACGCACACCTCTCATTTGCTAGTAGTACAAAATTATGATACCTGGCAAAAATATTACATTAGTACATGATGTATACTTTATATAAATAAAACAGGTTGATGTTCAGGTGGCGCAATGTAGCAACACAACGCAGAGGAAGCAGCCACTCTTTTGGTTTATGAACTGATGAGGTCAACTTGATTTAGTCAAGGGGTCACAGCTGCCACAGGGGTCTGTTGATCAATTAATCATTTGGTCTATGACATGCCAGAAAATTGTAAAAACTGTCCTGTTTCATTTTCCAAAGCCCAAAGTGATGAAAATACACATCTGAGCAGCAGGAAGCAGTGGATTTAGTTTTTTTTTTTTTTTAAAAAAGAGAAAAGTCTAAAAGGATTAATCGGTTATTAAAATTTTTGAAGATTAATTACCTGCCAATCAATGAGTTAAAAATCTTAAAAATGATTAGTTGAGGGTATTTATATCATAAAATATCTTCAGCCTAGCGCTGTGTTCTTGTCATACTGGAGTTAGTGTCATCACCAGTTTGTGACTCGTTGGCCTACATACAGTTCAGATTCCTTCAGAAAGCTCTGATATATCAGACTTTGTGCTAAATAATACAGAAGTGCCTGAAAAGCATATAAACATGGAAGCCTTATCAGCCTTACATCAGCTGAAGTCTGCGATGGGGAGGTTTATTACAAATGAACCTTATAATCAATAATCATGTTCAAAAGTCTGTGTGACTCAGCCAATGAATCTGCTGCTGCAAATGTCAGTTCACAGTCTGAGGGTACAGGAACACACACACACACACACACACACACACACACACACACACACACACCTCGTCATGTATTTACACCATGTGGGTTATTCACATTAAAGCTCAGAGAAATCAAACCATTCAACCAAAGGCCTGACGCAGTTATCTCTGTGAACCTATAGACTGGATAATAAGGCAAACAGAGGGAACAGAATATGGGAATACATGAAGCAAAGGGAAGGGTCACATGGTTTAAATCATTATCACACATTATATGTTCATATGGATTTACGATATTGATATTCATCACAATCTGGAACATATATTAAAAATTCACATATCAAACTGATGTTTAAAGAAATGAACTGTGCTTTTACATGTGACCTCTGTGTGAAACTTTAATGACAACAGATCCACCTCCATGACAAACTCATCTGTTGATGATGACCATGAGACGCCTAAAAGTGGACCTTGAGTCAAGATATAAAAATTAATAATTAACAACTAATTTAGTCAATTTTTAATCACCACCTGCTCAAAACCATCTCAAACCATCAATCTGGATTAAGACATTTGGTAACAATGACGTGGGATGATCATCAATCACAATAATATAATCTATATATAATAAATAACACTGACTAATCCTGCAGAACCACAGGCGTCACATTAAAGCCTCTGACAGTTCCCGATGTTATAAAGAGAAGGATAGAGATGAAGATATGATCACTCTGGCTGAAATGTCTGAACAACTATTAAATGGATTGGCATGATATGTTGTGCAGATATTCATGGTCCCCAGAGAATGAATCCTCTGATTTTTAACTCTAGTGCCATCATCAGGTTAACATCTGTGGTTTTCAGTGAAATATCTCAACTATTAGTGGATGGATTGTCATGAAATCGGGTGCTGACATTCAGGTTTCGCAGCTGACACATCTTACTGATTTTTCCTGCAGCGCCACCATGAGGTCAGATTTTTAATTTTGTCCAAATAAACTTTACAGTCATTCAAGAACAGAACAGAACAGAACCAGACTGAGTTTACTGTGAACTCGCAGTGCAAAATAAAAACACTGTGAAAAAAACATACAAAACCAAATACATTAGCATGTTAGCTTTATCCACACAGGTCGACCCATAGCAGTGTCTCCTGAAATAGCAATACCCTACAGCAGCAGGTGTACCAGACCTCAGTTGTCATGGTTACACTAATAAACTGTCCTCACAGCGGCATACCTACCTTCATCGCCATGGTTACTATAATAGCGGTCATGACTTGGTTAGGTTTAGGAAAAGATTGTGATTTGGGTTAAAAGGAGTACTTCCTCAACATTAGATGATCTTTGTTGTCATGGTTACAACATAAACTGCTAGTTTCACATGGGAATCGTACAACGCTCTCCTGTGTCATATTCATCCATCCACCACAACCTCCTCCTGATGTGGTCTTTGTTCTCTTTGCTCCTGTCATCATTACTACGACCACTAGATGTCGCCTAGCAACAAAATGTAACTATGGGTCATAATAACCTGCTGCACAGACGATTTATAGGCTCATTTTTTACAGGAGGACAGCCTCCTTTAACATTGTGAGCATGTTAGCAAGCTAACATTTAGCTCAAAGTTCAGCTGTGTCTTAAGTAGCTGCAGCTTCAATGAGATGCTAACATGGCAACAGACTCTTGTTAATAGCAGCTTGCTCAAAATAATTAATAACCCTCTGATGTCTACGGGTATTTTCTCGATTTCTACATTATTTCTTAAGGGACTTGCATTTAAGATAATACCAAGTGTTTTATATCACAATTTTCAGAACAATTTCAGCTCTTTCTATAATGAGGCTCCTGTTTGACCCTTTGTGCAAAGAGATAATTTGGCCCAAATCCTGAAAAATAGATGACATACGTTTACTGATGTGGACTAATTGTTTTGGGTATACCACAGTCTTAGGTTCATAAAAAAAAAGTGCAATGTGTGAGTAAAATAGTAGATACATGTATAACAAATGCCTAAAATGAAAAGTGTTGTCTGTCACTACTTTAACCTAATTTTAGAGGCCTGTTTAGAGGCCTTCTAGCTCCGCCTATGACTCACATACAATCCCCCAAGAATATGAACCAGAAAGTTGAGAGTCAACAGATTCTAACAACATTTAAACCATATTTCTACGCTGTACCATTGCAAAGATATTAATAGGAACATCCGTCGACCTCAGAGGGTTTTAATCCTGGACATCAGAAATGTACCGAACAAAAACATGGAGGGATCATTTAATAAACACTAACACTGATAGTCCAACAGCTACGGTGAAAATAACTGTTAGTCCGCCTTAACCTCAGGTACAGCCCTCATGAACACTGAGAGCCACACATCGAGTATATAACCATGAAACCACAGCCTGATACTGACTAACATCATTAACATTATTACACATATGTAAACTCTCATAAGAGCAAACACACTGACACTGTGAGAACATAGGGGCATTACAGGAATACACAGCCATCCACAACAGTGCAGCACACACTATACATTCCCATAGGGAGATGAAACAGTATAGACATACTATATAGCAGATTAAGATGAATCATGAGGCTGAGAGAGGCTCAACTCCCTACAGAGCCACAGAGGCTGCACCTGTGAGATTATTATGGGCTATTATAGGAACATTGTGTTTTATTGGGTTTTATGATTCAAAATAAACATATAGACGCTTATAAATCAGAAAAGGCTCCATAATCATTGTTAACATGTAAGAGAGGTGGTGCAGAAAATTAACAACCAATCATCAAGCCAATAGATGGAGATCAGCACCATATGAGCGCTGCAGGTGTCTGACATATGAGAAGAAATACTGTTGGGATATTAGAGACAGACCCTTCATTTATAAGATGATTGTAAGAAGATAGAGCGGCTCCACTGTCGCAACCTCTCAGGTGTGATCGACGTTTCTGGATTCAGATCTGTCTGTCCGAATGTGTGTGTGTGTGTGTGTGTGTGTGTGTGTGTGTGTGTGTGTGTGTGTGTGTGTGTTTCTTAAACCGCTGTTAAACTGTATTGTAGTGTCATCTGTGTGTCTGTGTGTTACCTCTGCAGGGCGGATCTGATGCTCTCTCTCTGCTCTGCACCTGATGGAAACAACTCGATCTTTGTCCGGGCTCCCAAATAATAATAATTATAGTAATAATGATAACAATGATGATATTAATAATAATGACTTCCCAAATTTTATCCTCAACAGCAACAGTTACGCTTCCGATCTTATCCACCGCCCGTCTGCTCAGGGAATCAGGAAACACCGCTGCGTCGTTCGCAGTGAGCGGAGCGGAAATTTTCCTCAGAAACGAGGTGAAACTGCCTGTGAAGCGTCTCTTTTCCGCGGTGCCGCACGCAGCTTTTCTTTTTACGCACGTCTTTACGCAGACATCCTGCAAGGTGGAGCGAGGCAAAGCGATGGAAATATTTGCAAAGGCGTCCGCTGTCCGTTACCTCCCTCCCCCTAAAAATAACCACCAGCGGCTTCTCCGTGAATGAACAGCGTTTTATTTTTTCTCGTGTCTGCAGGCTGTTTGCAGGCGGCGCCTCCTCCGCCCTATCACACGGCTGATCTGTGCAGACGCGCAGCGGCAGGAGCGGCAGGAGCGGCAGGCAGCTGCTCGCTATGACTCATAACTGAGGCGGTGAGGCGTGTAATTGGTTCAGCATCGATAAGAGAGACGTCTCCCCGAGAAAAGAGGGAAAAGCTGCCTGTCTGAGCTGCAACCACACACACACACACACACACACACACACACACACACACCCTCCCCTCTCCATGGTCCTCTGTCCCCTCTCAACCACCTAGCCTCACACACACACACACAGGTGTGTTTTCCGCCTCTGCAGAGTCATTTCAGTCAGCACTCTGACCATGTTTGGCAGCTGTTTGTCCACAGCATCATTCTGATATTTTAATGTTTCAGCATCAGTGGTTATAGCCAGCTCACTGTGGGTGAGATCAGTGCTGCAACCATAATTACCTGCCCACAGCTTTAATCATTGATTATAATATAATATTTAATAATAATAATTATAATATAATAATGGCCAGAAGTGTTTTTACAGAACATTATGATGTCACAGTCAAGTTGACCTTTGACCTTTTGCAAATTAGTGTCATCGCTTCATTTTATCCTTATTTGTGTTAAATTGTGTCATAAATAGTGTATGAATTCGTCAGTGTTTTGTGAGGTCACAGTGTACCAGATGTAGTGAAAATTCCCTCTGGGTGCCCATGATATGTTGCATTCACAAGAACGTGAGCTCACGGTGACCTTAAACTTTGACCTTTGACCACCAACATCTAATCAGTTAACCCTTGAGTCCAAGGGGACATTTGTGCCAAATTTGAAGAAGTTACTTCAAGGTGTTACCGAGACGTCGCGTTCACAAGGCCAAAACCATGTTTTATGTGTCACTGTGACCGTGACCTTTGACCTTTGACCACCAAAATCTAATCAATTCACTCTTGAATCCTAATGACTGTTTGTGCCAAATTTGAAGACGTTTCGTTGAGGTGTTACTGAGCGAACTAACATAGTTAGACCCTTATTAAACACCATACACCTAATATTACTCTGTAATTAGAAACTGCACATAATTCCCTTTTAGATCAAAATTATACTTAGAACCTATTACTCAAATATACTGTCAGACACCATTTTACAAGATCATAGTCGAATTAGAAATCAAATACAATGACAAATCAGATCCAAAATGTATTATCAGCTTCACATGTGTAAAATATGACAGGAAATGATCTTCATGGTTTCGAAACTTTCACTGCAAATGCTGCTTAAACTATATCATATACACTTAGTTTAGTCCACTGGATCCTAACCTGGGGGGTCTGGTCCCTCCAAAGGGCCACCAGATAAACTGAGAGGTTGTCACATGATGCACAGTGTAGAGTTGCAGCACCATCTCGTGGACAACATGTAGTAAATTTCCACTAAATATAATACTATGCATTTCAAATATACTGAATGTTAAACTAATATACTGAAATAGCTATATTCACAACTGAGGTAAAATCTGTATGTGAACCAGCCGTTACTGAAGTAGGATTGTAATAAAATCTGGAGGAAATAAAGTTTTTTAAAAAATGGTCTGAAGGGCCCTGGTGGTGTTGGAGTAGCAGCTGTAGCAAGGCCCAGGTTTAGGATAGACAGGAGACTTTGAGGATAGATAGGAGACCTAGGTGGGGGAGAGATAAGGGGGGG